TGCTGTTGACCACAGACTCACTGGCCCCTTTCCTGACGAGCCGTTTGAGCCCAGTGGTCCCTACGCAGAGCTTGTGGGCTGCCTCATGTACCTGATGACTTGTACTCGGCCGGACCTCGCCTTTCCCCTCAGCGTCCTCTCTCGCTTTGTTGCGACTGGGAGACACCGTCCTGTTCACTGGACCGCTGCTGTGAGGGTGGCGAAGTACCTGGCGACTACATCAGGCATGGGGCTTGTGCTTGGAGGGACTCAGCCAGTGGCGTTGACCGGTCACTGCGACTCTTCCTACGCTGACGACGTGGAGACTCAGCGTTCGACTCAGGGTTACTGCTTCAGTCTGGGAGCTGGTGCTGTGTCGTGGAGGTCTACACGGTCGTCGTCTGTGGCTACTTCCAGTGCAGAGGCAGAGATCTACGCTGGTGCCATGGCGGCACAGGAGCTTCGCTGGTTGACCTTCTTGCTCGCCGACCTTGGTGAGCGGCCTCGCTCTGCACCGACCTTGTGCGCTGATAACAAGGCCATGATCCTCCTGTGTCGAGAGCCTCGACTGGAGAGCAGAGTGAAGCATATTGACGTGAGGTACTTCCTCCTGCGAGAGCTGCAGCGACGCGGCCAGGCACGCCTGGACTTTGTGGCCTCAGAGGCCAACACTGCAGACGTCTTCACCAAGGCCTTGGCGCCTGGTGATCACCACAGGTTCTGTGTGCAGTTGGGGCTTGTTGAGGTAGGCCCTCGGTTGCTGTAGTCTTGTTGTTTGCTCTGCTTGTTGTGCTTCCTATTTATATCCTAGTGGACTCTTGAACTGGCCTTGTGGCCGCTTGCTTGCGCTCGGAATTTGTGTGGTGTTCTTGAGATCCACCCTGAGCTTGCTTGCTTTTCTTGACTGGTCTTGTGACCGCTTGTTCACCTTGCTTGCTTTGATGCCCCTTACTTAGCCTATGGGGGTGTGTCAGATGTAATTCTATGCTTGTAGGCTACAGTGAGTAGCACTATAGGGAGTACAGTTGTTAGGGTTGCATATTTGTACTCTCACACTTTCTAGTCTCGAGCATTCCGTTGCTAACCACTCTTGAGACTATTGAACTTGTACGGCCAATTGCATGGGTAGGCTGATTCGTATCACAGAAGTTACGACGATACCTTTTCTGAAATTATTGCCATGAACGCACCAAAGAGGGTCAGGTAGGAATTTAAAATACTGCAAGAGTAATCTGAGGAACATTTGTGAAGTATACACTAATTCGAAATGTATGTTGATAGGATACGCAAGATACTAACGTGGCACACAAATGTACTTGGATCCAACATTGCTCGCACAGGCTTTCCCGTTGTACTCCGAAAATTTGGCAGATGCAGCGCTGGCGGGGACGCCATAGAAAGTATAAGCGCCTGAACATGACAGCGATAACGACACTGGCTTGGCCCGGCCCTTGGTGCACCTTCCGAGTGTAAATGGCCAGTACTCCGCCTTCAGGCACCTGGGGTAGCAAGTCGTTATGGGAGGAGAGGAAAGGGAAATGAGTCACAAAGAAAGCGGAGAGAGGATGATTGCCAATGTGAAGTTTGACACGGAGAGAGAATCTGCCAGAGGGAATAAAGGGAGTGAATTACTAGGTGTGTTAAAGCAAGATTAGATAGAAAAAACCTGCATGCGAGCTTATGGAAGAGAGATTGATTGTAGGCTTATGGCAAAAGCCTAGGCTACTTGTTCACCCAGAGTTTTATGGGTTGATTGCTGACGAAATATGATGACCAAACTGGAGCCGCTTACTGAAAAATACATCACCATGGTCTAAAAGCGTTGACGACAAATGTCATTTGAGAAAACGTTTTGCAAACGTGTACCCAGATCCTCACGTAAACAGGATACCCAACGTCGAATTACGATGCGGCGTCGTTACCCAACTTCCAAAATTTGCACCGCATACACCAATCAGGCATGTGAAAAACAGAAAAAATACTGCAATTGGGAGAAACAAGCCCGAAGTTTTCGTTATCCCTCCCAAAACTACAGAAAGACCTATGCAACCGTTTCAGCCCACCAACCCACCGTACCCAGGCCTCTCGTTCTCCTTCTTTCTGCATTTCACCTCTCCACCTCGCTCTCCCACCTTGCAGCCTCTCAACCTGCTCCCAATCTTCTCTCCCACCGCTCACCTGCACGCCAGCCTTGCTGCCAACAGCAGAGGCAGAGGTAGGGACCGTGCTGGAGCAGACGAGGCCGGGGTTGTTGTGGTAGAGCTCATCCCAAGCAAATGGCGGCACCTCCTCATATGCTCCTAACCTCTGCAGAACGAGGTCGCATGAATCCTGTGCTGTGAGCGTGGTGTACTTGAGGCACTGTGGGACGGTGAAGGCGAATGTGGTGCTGCGCTCAACGCACATGGAGCGCCGCGCCTTCATGCCCTGCTCGCAGCTCAGCCCCGGGTTGAGGCTGAGGAGGTCCGGTTGGGTACGGTTCAGGTAGGTGGCGATGGATTCACAAGTGTCACCCTGGAGGGTCAAACAAGGGGAGAGGGGTTGAAAAGTGGGTAATTTTCCTGTTCGAAAGGCAAAGTGCATGCATGGTTTGCATGATGTGATGCTGATGGTCGCCTTGCCCGGTTCACTGGGGCAGTAGGGAAATGAACTATCTTGTGTGAGCATCTGCTGTGGTATTTATGAAGATTGTTACAGTCTGCTAAGCATCAAAATCTAAGGGCGTTTTGCTTCAGCGAGTGAGTTCGCCCACAGCCCCACACCCATGCCCAACCCCTGCGGACCATCCCGTGATCCCTATGTGATCCCAATTCCTCCCGGCAAAAACAAAAAACTCTCTTAGTCCATATACAGATCCATCGAATTCTCAAATCTTTACGCTGATTCAATGCAAACCCGAGAGCTCACAGCAAGGGTGTAGAAGAAGGCAGTGCAGGGGACGGCAGGAGAACCAGCAAGCTGGAGCACCGCATTCAACTTCAGAGGCTTCGAGCAGTCCAGAGCCTACAAGGTGCAGACACATAACACGAGCCTGAGGGTTTCAAACATACGGTTTTCGTAAAACACGATTGGCTTTTTACGGTCATAAAACACTAGCAAGCTGCTGTCCTGTGACTCACTCCGCTTACTCCCTACTGTCCTGTCCTGTACCCAACGTTCCCGTCATACAAAAAAAAAGAAAAACCCTTGCGCACACCTCTTACAGCTACTTTATTCGAAGGCGTTAAAGGAGAGAGGAAATAACAGCTGCCACTTCCTTGCAACCACCAGCAAAGACCTCCCATCAATTCCACCCTCCTCGCTGCTTACCTTGTTTTGCTGCGTGAGCTGGGCGAGCGTGAGGCCCATGAGGGGATGAACATCAGCGCAGCTCCAGTTGCCGCCACTCACTGCCAAGCTGATGGCTAAGCTGCCGGCTGGAGAGAGGGGAGGGAGTGACGGAGAGGGTGAAAGAGGTCGCAAGGCATGTGTGCAGGAAGGAGGGAGCAAAAGACGAGGCAGGAAGGCTGTGTTAGCGGACTAAGTGCGTGGCGAATGTGGGCTTGCTCCCAGTGGGCGAGAGAGTGACAAGAGAGACACTATTCCAAGCTGCGGGAAGGTGGAAGGAGCAAAGGAGCAACAGTCAACCATACCTGGGTCGCAGGTGGGGAAGCCATCAACGGTTTGGCTGGGGATGTAGTTGGGAGGGCAAACGCAGGAGTAGGAGCCCTTGCCATCATTGATGCATGTGCCCACAAAACACGGGTTCTTCAATTGCGACCCGCACACGTCGGCTACAAAAAGGCATACGAGAAAGAGAGGAGTGGACATTTGTCGTAGAACCAAAGGTGTTTCCCAGGGAGCATAAATTGTCCAAAAGCTAGAGTTTGAAACTAGAAGGTATGACGCTTGACGAATCAATTTCATCATAGGTAAGAAATTGTCTCACCATAGACACAAGTCTCAACCATACACCCATGTCTCACCATACACGCATGTCTCACCACACACCCATGTCTCACCATACACGCATGTCTCACTATACACGCATGTCGTGGTGCCCGCTCCATTTGCAACCTCCACAAAGGGCTGCAAGGTGGCCATTGGGATGATGCACTTGCAGGAGTTGCCCTTGTTCTTAGCCACGGCCGTGCACTTGAAGCGACCACACGGGTTGAACGTGGGCTCAAACTCTCGATCTGCCTTGAAACTGCTTGTGCCACAAGGATCCCCGAGAACTGGAGGGAAAAGGGGGGTAGAAGTTGGGATGGAAGCCTCATACCCTAAAATGGGGTAAAGGCCAGGCTCTTGACTGGATAAAGGAGTGGATGCCTTGTTTGTTACAAGGGTTAAGATACCTCACTCTTCTTGACAAGGTCGTAGATGCATCACCCCAGACAGCTGGCTATGCCTCACTCTTCACAGCAGGGTAGATGTCTCACTCTTGACGATTGGGTAGATGCCAGGCAGCACGTTGATGCCACACACGCCATCCCCTCGCCGGATGTCCATGCGCATGTGGCCCTTATAGCCCCACTCCACGCCCCACGAGTTGCGGATGATCCAAAACGGCGGGGGGATGCGTCGCTGCACGCTATCCCCGACGGTAACGGAGTAGCCCACAACAAGCACCACGTGGTTCAGCTCGCCTGTGTAGCACGCTGGGTCCTGGTACTTGTATGTCTGGCATGGATTGGCACAGAGCACAGGAAACACAAACAGCAAGACAACCAGAAAGATGAGATGGTTGTAATCGTACCAGTTAATACAACGAAGATGGAAGGACAACAAGGTGTGTCCTCTACTGCAAAAATGTGATATTACATGCACTCCCTTTCCTCCTGCCCATGCTCTTGGTCAGAAAGGTGTGCCATCGCTATGTTATTGATAAAGCTAGTCAATTGTACTGCAGAGCTGTCATCGCGCTTTAGCATCAGATCAGGGTTGTAAATTACCAGACTCGCTCACACACCAACCACCATGTCTATGGCATGCCATGTAGCAGGACTTTGCATGGCACATTTCTATGTTACAAATATTAATCATTTCTCCATATTGCTAATGCTCATGCTCATGCTCATGCTCATGCTCATGCTCATGCTCATGCTCATGCTCATGCTTAAGTTCATGCTCATGCTCATGCTCATGCTCATGCTCATGCTCATGCTCATGCTAATGCTCATGCTCATGCTCATGCCAATGCTAATGCTAATGCTCATGCTCATGCTCATGCTCATGCTCATGCTCATGCTCATGCTCATGCTCATGCTCATGCTCATGCTCATGCTCATGCTCATGCTCATGCTCATGCTCATGCTCATGCTCATGCTTAAGCTCATGCTCATGCTCATGCTCATGCTCATGCTCATGCTCATGCTCATGCTCATGCTCATGCTCATGCTCATGTCCTTCTCACCAACTTCTTCCCTACAGAAGCTCGCCTTGTTTGCTTACGGTGGAGTCGCCAATAAAGAAAATGGCACATGCATATTTTGTTCACAAGCAGTTGATCATATGTCATGTAGCTTACTTAATCTGCTCTGGTTCACCCACCATACCGTACCGACATTCATGGTCATGACTCGTACCAAGCACATATGCATGGCCTTGTTATTACTTGCTTTGCAAAACAAAGAAACGGTTCGGTCTCTCTTAGTGCATTTTTTTCCCAAGGCACACATTTGCGTAAGCATATCTCCCGTTTCAAAATCTCAACTAAATCTGCATTCATCTGCATCCGCTTCAATCTTCTCCTTAGTACTTTGGCACATAACCAGCACTCACCCCGTCATACGCGGCGAACGTGGAAGCAGATGCCTGTATGTGAACCACCACTGGCTGCCGCTGCACTGCCAGCATGAGCCCCACATACCCCTTGAATCGCGTGCGCTCAAAGCCCTGAACGGGATAGTACTTCAACTGCACAGTGTTTGTTTGAGAATCATACAGGAGGACAGAAAACTGTATATAAATATAGATATGCATACACACATACATTTAGAATCAACAAGAAAAAGAAAATCACTGGACCTTAAGGGTGCGAAGTGGCAAACATGAGTGATTGATGCAATGAAAAGAAGACAAAGGGACACATGATGCTTGCTAGTGCTTCTCCTGGTAGTGACAGCGTCACAGCTGACCAATCACACCACAAGATGACAGGTGGAGGAGCGTTGCTTTAGATGCACTCCAACAACATTCTCATAGTCTCCAGAGAAATTACCTTATTTCATGCAACACTTACAGCAGCTTGTTTGCTTGGCACGACACTAGCAATATTGTTGGTAGATAGAGTGAGTCCCTTCTTTGGCAGGGCGAGCAGCTTCTCAAAGGCCTCTGTTGGGGAGCCCCCCTTGGTGCACTTCTTGGCTTCAGTGGCGAGCCCCATGGCTGCAAAGAGCGACTCCACTGACAGCTGCGGCGCTGCTTTGTTCGTTGTGATGCCGTATGCTGCTTCTACACTCGCCACCACTGCATATGCCCAGCACGCATCTGAGCAGTGCATGGGACACAAGGTGAGGCGAAAGGGAGCGTAGGAGAAAGCGAAAGGGGGGATTCCATGTTAGGTATTTGAAGAAATATGCGAGAGAATGAAGACACAAACAAGAAGCAGCGATTATCCTTCCTAGCAACAAGCAACGGACTCTGTCCTCATCATGATTCAATCATCAGGCAACTTTCCATTAAGACTCATTACCTCGTTCATGGCATTCCTTTCCATTCCAATCTACTCCCTTCCTCCAAGTCTGCCCCCTCCCTCTTTCCCACCCCCCCCGCCCCCTCCTTCCCCCCCCCCCCCTTCCACTTAACCTTCCTCCCCTCACTCCCTCCCTCCATAGTCCCCCCCGCCCTCCCTACCTCCCAACCTCACCTCCCTTCGTCCTCCCCCCACACCGATGGCACTCACTGCAGTCGTCCTGGTCCTTGATGGGCCACGAGAGCGAGGGCACATCCCAGGAGGAGGGGTTGCAGAGGAGCCAGGCGTCCTGCTGCCCTGAGAGAGCGTATGCCGCACTCACATAGCGCGTGAACGGACTCGCACTCACCGGCCGAAACGTTGTTTGGGACACAGAGAGCCCATAGGCTGCCTCAACGGAGCAGGGAGGGGGAAAGAGGACAAGGGGGGGTGAGGGGGGGCGGGTTGGAGGGTGGGGGAGAGGAGAGGAAGGGAGTGCAGGGAACTTTGTGGTGGGAAGGAGTGGAGGAAGAGACCTTTAGGGATGTTCCGAGAATATCTACACTGAAAAACGCACTCGTTTTTAGCCAAAAAAGGCTCTCTGCAAAGGTGTACCTGGAGAGACGATGGACGCTGGCTTGGATGGTGTGGGCACGGTCAACCCTGTTAGCAGAGAGAGGTGCATACGTAACAAACAACGAGTCAATTGGAGAAAACATCGAGTCAATTAGAGAAAACAAATGGAAGCCAAAACCAGCAGATGGAATCCCACGCAGAGACCAATTTCAAGTGAGAGCAATGGTTGGTTCGAGAAGCATTACAAATTTTCCTACAGGGGAGTCTAGTTTTACTAGTGCGGAGTTGTCGTTTTTCCTAGAATCGGCATATTACTTGCACTTCCCAGCATTTTTTGTTTTCCTTGGTGCAATAATCTAATCGAATTATACTTGCATCGCCCCGTGGTAGGTAAGTGGAGTACTCAATACTTGTGATTCTCACAACTTCGTACGAAGATAGGCAAATCTTTGGAGTTTGGAAATTGAGATCCAAAAGGTAGAGCAAACGGGTGGGTCGGGTTGGCTCTTTTGTTGCTGTGTCGTGTAGCAGGTGCAATGCATTTAACGGGGGACTCGGGTCTGGTCGACCCAACCCAACACCCAACTTCTTGTTTCTTAACTCTACGTTTGGGTTAGGTCAACTCGAAACGGATGCAGGCTGTTCAGGATTGAAGGGCGAAACCTGAAGTAACAACAGAGTCCATCGGGGTTTGGGGAACCCTTGGCAGAAGGTGCACCACGAAAGCGTGAAACCCAGCAGCAGTCGCCTCAATTGCCTGCACACTTGGAGCGCGCCCACACCCGGTCACAAAGAACACAAGCAAACTCATTCGAATCCGCAAGACTCGCTTTGCCTGCCTGTGCTTGGATGCTTGGCAGCGACCAAACCAAGCAGGCAGAAGGCAGCAGCAGCAATCACAAAGTCTACAAGATGACAAGGAAGAGAGAGGAGACAGCCTGGACAGCCCCAGCCCGGCTCACCTGTTTCGACGAAGGAGACCAGGATGGCGTGCTGCTGCTGGAAGGGAGCCACAGAGGACGCCACAAACCCAAGGTAGAACGACCTCTTAGTTTGCGTTGGCTTCAGCACCTCACACAGCATCAGAGGGCTCTCCAGTAACGGCGCGTCCGGCTTGTCTCCACTCGTGGCCAGATACACACTCAGGGTCCCTGGGCCGCCTAGGGTTCCCAGCTTGTAGTCAATCCATGCGGTGTAGGTCTTCTGGTTGTTGAGTGTGAAGGGCGAACGAACGGCGGCTATGGAAGTGGCACTGCCGCCGGTGTTGAGCCCCACGTGGTGGCCGGGCATGTCCCCATGCGCTGAATCTGTGTACGTGTCAAACTCCACCGCCACGCTCCGACCGTCCATGCCAGCGTACCCCACCCCTCCCCCCTCCCCGCCAGTCCCGGCTGCATTCGTCGCCGAAATCACAAACGCCAGCCCCTGGCCTGCCTTAGACGCGCCAGCAGCAGAGGGGAACATTAAGAGTGTGAACTGGACTCAGATTGGCAGGTCCACGCCACAGCCGTCGGGAACCGCCCGGTAGGTGAAGAGAGCGAGAGGGTCGGCAGTGAACACTCTTGCCGTTGCTTCTTCTGTGCCCTTGGTGAGAATGGTCGGATCCACCAGCTCCCTCATCCCCACCGACCCTGTAGCATGCAACGGTCGCCGGCAGAACGTGGTGAGAAGCGGAGGGAGAGGAGTGGCGGTGAGAGGAGAGCACAAGGGAAAATGAGAGGAAGGGAAGTATTGGAAAGAACAAACAAAGGAGAGGTACACAGACATGCAAGAATGCAAGGGGGAACAGGTGTGCTTGCTAGTGTGGTTGCTGCTTCTTCTGCTGCAAGTGTTCCTGCAGCAGCTGCTCCTGCTACTTTTGCTCCTGCTACTGCTACTGCTCTTGTTTTTTCTGCTTCTATTTGTGCATCTTCTACCCACTACTTCTATTAATCGCTGCTCCTATTCCACGTACCCGGAGGGGCGCAGTAGATTCGTCCATCCTGCACGGCTCCATTTTGGTACAGGCAGGTGGGAATGCGACTGGGCCCGTCCAGGTAACAGATGCCCAGGCCGTTGCAAACTGGCGTGGTGGTGCCCTCCAGCCCACAGAACGCGTCACACACTGCTGCTGGGAGCTGCGCAGCACACTCGACCCACGGCTTTTCCGCTGCTAATGCTGCAGTGGAGAAGCAGTTCACACCGCGTGACTGCCTGAAATCGCCGCACTCGCGCTCGCTCAACTCTCCCACGAGATAGTTGTCCGCGATGTCCCCGAGAGGAAGAACGAGGGGCACATGGTGAGGGGCGGAGGGAGCGAGGAGAGACTTTTGAGTTGACTCACAAGGCATTAGCAATGGGTCAACTCTTCTATGAGATAGTGGTCCGCAATGCCCCTACGAAGAAGGGAGAGGGGGAGGTGGTGAAGGGCGGAGCGGAAGGGAGGGAAGAAGGAAAGACCAGGACAGACGGAGAGAGAAGAAGTGACGCAACAAGTCACGAAGGGTTGGTGTGCCCTGATGAATTAGAAGATGATGAATTCAACATCCTCAATGCATGAAAATTGAGGCAGTGATCGCAGCACAGGTATGTGCGAGATGAAGCACTGGCAGCAGAAAAGTAAAATGCCACACTAACGAGTTCTCTAAAGCCACGTCTTCTGTTGTAGTGTGCAGTGCAGAGCAGAGCAGAGCAGACTGCATGTGATGAGCAAGCACAACAAGCATGATGCGTGCAGGAGCGAACTCACAGCAGGAAGAGGCTGGAGAGCATTGATACAGTGTTGGGGACACGGCCAGTGAACTGGCTTGACGCCAGGGGCCTGCGGTGAAGGGAACATGGAACATTGCATGTTGCACACACGGTGGGATTGTGGGCATGGGCATGGCCGTTGCATGTCTGCATGGCTGCATGTGCACCGTATGGCACGGTGCATGCGGGGACCAGGATGGAATGCGTTGAATGCTAGGGGCATAGCATGGCATTGAACGGGTGGCGTGCGGTCGTGGAGGACTGGGAAAGAAGAGAAGTGGCACATGAGTTTCTCTGTGTGTTTTTTTCTTGAATCGGCGTACACACATGTGGGTCTGGGTGCGTGTGTGTGCTTGTGCATGGGTGCGTGTGGGTAGGCGGGTGCACATGTATGCGTTTGTGAGCGTGGGTGTGGGTGCCATGTTTCGTTATGGAGCAGGAAAGGGAAGAGGTGCAAGGGAGAAAGAGGGAAGAGGGCAGCCAGAGATGCCCGGAATGACTATTTGACTAAGTACAAGAACTAACGACGAGATGAGATGCTAGGATGCTTCAGGTTGAGCGCTGCACGTACAGGAAGTGTAGGTGCCCCAGATTGCCCAGCACTGACGGCACTTTGCCAGCTAGTAAGTTCTCCTCCAGATGGCTGCCAGGGCCCACGGATACGATAAGGATTGTAACCATGCAAGTCAACGTGGGGGAGGGGTGAGCAATTTCCGGATGTAAATCCACGAAAATAAGATACTTAAGGACGGTGCAAGCATGCAGGTGCCCTCTCAGAGGCGTATACATCAGAGCTGTAGTAGTGGGTGAGTGAAATGAAAGCACTGCAGGTGCAGAAGAGAGGGTGCCAATAGGGTGAAATAGGGTGAAATAGGGTGCCAAGAGAGTGAAATGCATGCATGCAGGTACCCTCTCAGAGGCACTTACAGCTCTTCCAGCTGAAATAAGGTGCCAATAGAATCGGAGACGGCTGTAAACGCATTGCCGTTGAGATAACTGATTGGCACGGGATGGAAACGAAAGGACACAGTTTGGGTTCCGATATGATTATATGAGGAATCATGTCACGACTGCGATGCTGCTGGATGGATGGCACTGCTGTTGCTGCTGCTGCAGACGGAACAGAGGAAATGAGCAACGGGGGGATTGACACGTTGGTGGTGGTGGGTGGTACTAGGGCAGTGGTACGGACAGGTAATGGAGTCTTGCAAGCTATCCGATGGCGTCTGGGATGGACCCCGAGAGCAAATTGTCATTCAGCTCCCTGCACGTGATGCCGAGGGGACGAGGGGAACACAGGAGACAGAGGGGACCGAGGGCAGGGAGGAGCAGAGGGGAAACAGAGGGGAACAGAGGAAAACAGAGGGGAACAGAGGAAAACAGATGGGGACAGAAGGGGACAGTATTTGGCAGAGGGGACAGCGAGGGGCAGAGGGGGACAGAGGGGGGCAACAGGGTACAACGGTGAAAGACACAACGGTGGCTGGCAGGTACGTGGGGCGGCTGGAATTAAAGCACCACGCATTGAGCGGGTGTGCTCCATAGCGGGTGAGCGCCCTCTCAACAATCCCCATTCCAGCCAGGCCAACTGCTTGCCATCCCCCACCCAGGTTCCCTGCAGCAACCCCCCAGCGCCCCTGTTCATCGGAGCAGCACAAACAAACCGCACAGGTATTCCAACTGAACGAGCGTGCCGATCGAAGAAGGTATGGATCCTTTGAGTTGCTCGAATGTCATGTGCCTGTCACACAGAATGCCTTGCGGGGCAGGGCGACGGAAGAATGCAGAGCATGAGGGGATGCCTACGCCGATATTTCCCTTCTATTCTCCCCCAACCCCAGTAGCATGACCTTATGCCACAACGAAAACGGGAACAACACAGAAGGTCGAGCCTGCCAGGCAGAGCCGTACAGGCGCACAGGCGCACAGGCAGGCACGTATCCAGCAAGGCGCGCACTCACAGAGCGGTGACCATGCCGTTGTCATCACACAGAATGCCTCTGGGCTTCTCCCATTGGGCTTCAGTTCCCACATATCTCGCCACGGCACACGCCTATCCCGCACCTCACGTCGGCATCACCACGTTCCACACTGTCTGGCAGTCCCGCAGAGCCGGCATTGTACCAGGGAGAGCAGTTTGCAACACGAAGGTGGGCAACAGACGCGGCAAGGAAAGAAACGTCAGTGAAGGCCACGTGCCATCACGTCAACGGTTCAAACCGAATTGGGAATTCGAGGTTAAGAGGAAAGAAGCGGACGAAGATTGGAGTAGCGAGCAATAAAAGAGTGTAACAGAGAAACATCTCCGTTGGGAGGAGCTCCTGAGGGGAGGGATCACGCGCCGTAACCATGTGTAAACAAAACAGCCTTGGAGGCTGCCTGAGAGCAACGGCGGCGCCAGCAAGCTGTATAAAGCAGGTCTGGGTGCGCAGCAGGGTAGTACTAGCAAATAATATAGAGTACAGGTCGAGAAAGGCAAAGGGGATGGGAAAGGGAGCGGCTCATTGACGTGAGAATCCCGTCCAGGTGTACCTTTGGAGGCGTCAAGAGGGACAGAATAGCCCGAAAGCCCGGCTGTGGCGGTGCGAACGAAAGAGAGGGCCGCGAGACATGCGATCAGTAGCAGGAGTGGCAGCGTCATCTTCACACGCCTGATCCCAAATCTGTGGGAATATTAGTAGTACTACTAGTGCGTGCACGTCAGGTCTCCAGTCACGAATGTTGGTCTCCTTGAGAAATGCGCCGCAATACGCGTCGCCCCCCCTGCCGCTCGCAAAGGTTGACTCAAAAGCTGGTGCACTGTAATTGTGAATCACAGCAATGGCCCATTGGTACCGGGTACTAATGGAAGGGCCAAAAGAAGACTCAGCGTCCTATCCTGATGAGAGTCAGGGTCGGAGGGATCTAGTAGTAGGTGCGGCAGGCTGGAAGGAGGGACTAAAAATGTTAGGGTAACGCAGTCCTCACGGAAAACGGCGCGCTATCAGTGATTAAAGCGGTGCAGGTCCTCGGAATCCGTATGATTGTTTGTAAACAACTCGAACACCCCTCTGACACAACAACGTTGTGACCAGCGGTAGTAGCACCTAATGTGGACGGCGGAGGCTTATGCACTGGCGATGCTGCGTCCCACTTGGAAAACTCAGCTTGAAATACGGAGAAACAACACATTCTTAGTCTCGCAGCAGCACACAGACCTAACTTGAAACGTCCTTGAAGCATTATGCAAGTTGCCACATGCGTAGGCTCCAACTCGTGCATATCCCAACGGAGAAGCATGCACTGTACAGTACAGGTTCTTTTCACAGAAACGAGAGCCTCACGACACAACAGAGTTTATGAGGACATACGCGAAACATAGGCTGGATCACGCGGGGTTCCTTTCCTTGGCAGTTATGGATCACTGATCGGGGTGCCGCAGCGAGCAAACCGCTCTATATTCCACGACATCGAAGTCAACCGCTTCATCTAAACAAATGGAGAATCAGGTGTGGCCCACCATGCTTTTGGTTTTCAACCACTAGTCTGTGCTGGATTTTGAAGGCGATGAGGAACTGGGCTAAGATGAGCTGCAGTGTCTCAAAGCTCGAGGAGGAGGAGTTGCGGTACCTGTGGTCACAGCGGCTGTTCCACAGCGTCTTGACTGCAGCTCCTACTAGTAGGCTCCATGGGGGAGACTGTCCGACCCGTGATTGTAGCGGGAAGAAGATGTGTTTGGTGGGGGCGGTTTGTCCGAGGTGACGGTCGGCGACTGTACGCAGAGTAGAGATGACATTTCCGGCGGAGGCGCATTCGAAGAAGATATGTGGCAGTGTCTCTACAACAGCAGCAGGGCATCGGGGACAAACCCCTCGGTCGTCAAAATATTGGAAGCGAGATCCAGAGGGGAGAGTTAGTGTGTAGAGTTTGAAGAGGATATCCCGTTGGCGGCTCGGCTAGTCTTTGAGAAAGGGGTCTTTAAGGCCAGGGAGAGGGGGAGGAGGAATGGTGAGATCTCGGGTCCATCGGCTGTGGGGAGTAAGCGGCTGTGTGGAGTAGAGGAGACGACGGATGTCGGCGAGGCTGGGGATGCCGTCCTGCAGAAGTTCTACCCTAGCTCCTAATCCTGCCCCTGTATGAAGTGGCCCTGCGAGCCACCAATCCCTGACATACACCTCGATGAGGTCTTGTAAACGGAAGAGTCCGGTGTTGATTGGGGTACGGCCAATGCGATGGTCGGGCGAGACGGGGTGGACAGTAGCCGAGACGGTAAAAGGGGGGGTGAAGGCGAGGACCTGGATAGCGAGGTGAGATATAGAGTAATGGTTATCCGAGGGCATGAACCAATCTCCAGGGGAGGCAAAGGAGGGGTGAGGGGATCGGAGGCTGGCCCACCAGGGCGGCGATGAGGTCTGGGAGGAGGCGTGTGGCGTCATCGTGAAATTCCTCCGGGAGCTGGGAGCAGAAATCCTGAGCAGAGATAGGACTGACGTCGAAGTTGGTGATTCGGACAATGTGTCCGATGCTGAGCTCTCGTGTAAGCAGGAATCACTCGTGTTGGCGGGTGCCGAAAGGTCGCTCGTCGGGTTTGAGGAGCATCCGGTTAAAGGCGAGAGGTTCGGTAAGTATGCATTGCATACGTAGGGGTGGGCCATGAATGACCAGGGGAAGAGCGAGGAGGGTTTTGAGTTCCTCCCGTGCCCGAGAGGGAATGAAGGCTGGAAGATAGTCTCGTTCAAGGATGGCTTTATGGGAGAGAAGACCATGTAGCCCGAAGGGGAACAGGGTCAGGGTCCTTGTGACTTCCTCGGATGGGGTGGGTCCAAAATCTGCGTAGTGCACGCTGGATAGTGAGGGCTTTGATTTGGGTAGATGGGGCGATCGCCCCAACCCCACCATCTTGGGGTGAGTTGTAAAGGAGGCCATTGGGGAGGAAGTGTTGTGTGAGCCCGTCCTGTTTATGTCTTGAGGACGAAATGAAATTCCCAACTGATATGTCAATTCGTTTGATGGTGTTCAGCGGAGCAGGTTGAAAGCGGCCAGGATAGGATATGACGCAGTTCAGGAAGATCGATGACAGAGATTTGCGGCACGTGACGGTGGCATGTAAGTCCGCCAGGAATTTGGCGGTGTTTTGTATACGGGCGAGAGCCTTCGTCCAGGTGGTGGATCCGGGGTGTAATCGTTCCACGTAAATTCCAAGGATGCGTTCTGCTTCGCTGGGGGCTCGGACGGGGATAGGCCCGGCGTGCGCGAGATCAGTGGGGGGAATATTGAAGGGAATAATGGAGCACTTGTTCCAGTTGGGCACCTCCCCAGACAGGGAGCCGAAGACGCCGAGGAGTATCACTGCGAGGCCGAGCTCTGTATCTGAGGTGAAGAAGAGAGTGACATCGTCCGCGTAACATGCCATGAGTTGGCGCTAGACGGGAGACAGAGCGAAGCCGGGTAAGAAGAGGGACATGTATCGGTGGAAGATCTCGGTGACACAGACAAACAGAAGAGGTGCCAGAGGACAGCCCTGTCGGACGCCCGTACGGACGGGGAAGTTGGGGCCGAGCATGTTGTTGACGGAGATTCGTGTGTTCGTGTCGGAGTGCATTAGTCGTACCCAATGTATGAAGGGGGCTGGAATCCCTAGGACCGCTAAGGCTTGGAGGAGAAAGGGGCGGTCGACCAGATTGTAGGCCTTTCGAAAGTCTACCGTCAGAGCGAGAAGAGGGGTTGATGAGAATGCTGCCCAGTCCATGATATCAAGGGTATCATTGATTGTGTCTCCAATTTTCCTGTATTTGATGAAGGCCGTTTGGGACGGGTGGATGAGCTGGGGAAGAACGAGCTGGAGTCGGTTGGCAAGACACAGCGCGAGTACCTTGTAATCAGCGTTCATGAGGGTGATGGGGCGAAGGTTTTCTACGAGCGAGGAGTCACCCCGTTTGGGGATGAGGACGGTGCGTCCGGTCAGCATGGATGGGGGTAAGCGGGAGAGAGGTTGAGGAGGGGAGAGCAGGGAATGGAAGGCCGGTGCAAATCGCGGAGCGAATTGCCGAAAGAGTTCCCCGGGCAGACCGTCTAGGCCAGGGGTTTTGCCTCGAGACAGGGAGAGTAGTGCTTTTCCGATTTCATCAAGGGAGAAGGGGGCACCGAGGCGTAGGAATAGGGGGTTCGGGATGGAGGAGGGAGGGATGTGTTGCCAGAAGGTCGTGTTTACGGTGGCGGTGTTGTTCCCGCTGTAAAGTGTCTGGAAGAAGTTGGAGCATAGGTTCGTCATGGTGGGGAGATCCGACGTTGCTTGTCCATTAGGTAAAGTCAGGGAGCTGATGATCGAGCCCTTGATTCGCGAGTTGAGGCCAGAGAGAAGGGAGGAGACTCCCATTTCCCTTTCGAGACCCTTCTTGGTTGGGGACAGTGTGGCATTGTTCCCCATCACTGTAGCTCGGTTCTTGGGGTTTGTGGGAGCTGTAAGTCCTTCCCAACTCGCAACTCTTCCTAGTTCGTAATTGTTTTTCTAAGACTATGTTGCTGCCATAGTGCCGTTCGTTCAATCTGACGCTTTGTCGTCAATACTTGATAAAATCGTGCGATCTAAGCCTGTTGTAGGGCACGTTGAGACGCTCCAGATCCAAGTTGAATGAGGTCAATTAGAGCTGTGACCAGATCGCTATGATCGTTTGAAGCCGCTGTGCAGAAATCTGACTGCGCACTCTATCTTTGGTTCTAGGCCTATTGGAGCCTATTGTGACTATAACAGTACATGTGCGAGCCAGATGCGGAATATCTCGAGAGCCTTGGAGCGGACGTCAACATTGGCAATCCAGACATGGCGTCAATGAAGGTGAGCGTGTATTGTTCGCCGTTGATGCCCTCGGAGGTGAGTACAATGAAGTCGCTGTAGACTTTCTGCAGCTTCTTGTAGCGGTTGGTGATGGGCTATAGAGAGGGGTATGCTTGGTGTGTGAGGGCTGCAGTAGGGAAAATGGTGCAGGCAGTTGGGTGTGTTGTGCTGAGACGTTCCGAGATGTGCAGGGAGAACCCCATCCGCTGGTCCCCCAACCTTGGACGGTGCCTAATGCGCCAGTTGCGGATCCCCATGTTGCTCCTGTATTGCCGCCGATGTCTCCGTCATCCCCCCATCCGCCGCGTCCTGCTGATTCTTCGTCCCATCTTGCCGCCACGCGATCTTCGTACAGATTCTACTTCTTCTCTGCCTTTGCCAAGTCCTCTTGTTCTTTGACGCTTAACTATCATTTTGCGTATTTCCATGCTCTGTCGATGACGTTGCTAGACGTTGCGGGTGTATGGGCGCGGGCAACTCTCCTCGTCTAGAATTCAGGTGTTGGCTTCGAGGACGAAGCGAAGTGTTTCTGTGCACGGTGTTGGGCGCTGTACTGATAGTTGTCCGAACATTTCGTTTTCCTCGCCGAAGATGCGATGAGTGGCGACGGCGAGCTCAGTTTCCATCATGCCTTCTGGCTCTATCTCGGCGCTTTCTGCTTCTTGGATTGCCGCAAGATCTCTCTCCACTTCTTTTGTGCGGCTTGCCGTGGGTGTATGGCAAATGGTGCAGAGTCCGTCGGGGTCGATTTGGTGCAGATTTATCTCACAAGGGTGAGGACAGCGTCAGATCCATGGCCGCCCGTCTGGGTGTTTCCATGATTCTTTGTCCATGAACGGAAAGTCCGGAGGTGCGAGGTCAACGAGCCCGTCCGACAAAGCTTGGCAGCTAGGTATGTCGAAATCCAGGGCGTAGATGCCGTCCATCGAGTGGGCCCTTCCTAGGCACTTGTGCGACTCGGGAGGTGTGTCCGGAGGGGCGTAGGTGAGGATGAGATCCCGTGTGTAGGGATCCGTGGTGAGCATGACTTTGCAGTCTCTGAATTGTCCTGTCGAAAGGAGGTTGAAGCGGAGATTTGGGACGTAGAGCACGTTGTTGAACAAGATGTGCGTGTTGCTATCTCATGCTTGCAGGACCACGATGCCTTGTGCGTTGGCGTGGAGCTGCTTATTGTTGGCGACGGTGACGTAGGTTGCAGGAGCGCGGATGACGTTGGAGATGTATCGGACAAACCCCACCATGTGCTATCTGCAGCGCCTGTCCAGGTTCCAGGTGTTGTGGTTGTCTTGGTTGTTGCGTAGAAGTAGCGCGAGCCGTGGGGTCACCAGGGTTCCTTGTATCTTTGTTCGTAAAGCTCGCATTCCCTCCGTCCCACCGGTACGTAGTGCTGATTGTCATCGGGTGGACTCTCCCTCAGTTGTATTGGCTGATGCCAGTCTAACTCTTCTTTGTCACATAGGTAATAGTGATCTTCTGTGAGCGGATTGTTCCGTCCTTCTTCAGGTTGAATAGCTCCCTGCGAGGTTCTTCCTCTTCGTCCGATTCGGCGGTGCATGGCGACGTCTTGTCGCCATGTTCGCGATTACGTTTCTTGGAGCTCCTGATTGAGGTCCTCATGCCTATTGTTGTTGCTGTTGCTGCTGTGCAGGAGGATGGGTAGCTTGTTGTTTAGGGTGATTCTGACGATTGAATTGTCGGCCGACCCAGTTGTTGTAGTGAGTGGAATTTGGGTGGCGATGGTTGGATCGAAATTTGCAACAATCCGTTGAATTTCCGAAGACTTGGAAGATTTTGCAGTAATGGCGCATTGGTTATCGTCGCTCTTCACGATTGTCTGAGTAGAAGGCGAGGCGCTCTCGCCTCTCCGTCCTACTGTTCAGTCAGCTGTGCGACGCATAGCGCAGCTTTTGAGATAGTTCCACATTGTTGGAGTAGCGCTTTGCAGGGCTTCCACTCAGGCCGGAGTCCTTAGACGATGATATTGACAAAAATCTTCTCCGGAATGGTGCTTCCGTTCTTCGTGATCAGGTCACGGATGTTCCGGCAGCGATTAATGTAACTATTCGCTTTCTCCTCGTGCCCCATCTTAGTTTCCATGAGTTGTTGCAGGAGCCGGCTAGAGGTGACGGAGTCCTTTGGCTGATATATCTCAACGAGGTGCTTCCAGGGCTGGAGCGGCGCTCTCTTTGTAGGAGCGGATGCCGAGTTGCTCCGCAGGCGACATGTTGTGTATCAGGACGCTGTACGCCATAAGGAACTCACTATAGTATTGAGCCCAGGCGTGGTCGGTATCTTCCACTGGTTTTGGATAAGAGTCGTCAAAGTAGTGGTAGATCTGCGCTGTCTGTAGGAGGCGCTTAAGCTCAAAGCTCCACGTGTAAAAGCCCTTGCCGTCAAACGCGGCAGTAGTCCTGATTTTTTAGATGCTGAGAAAACGTGCTTGCGCAGAGTTGATTGCTTCATCACTTGCACGAGAGGCAGTGGTTGTTGATTGCTTCGTGCGCGGCGGTATTGTGGCTTTTCGCAGCCGGTTGACCAGGTTGAGCTGGTTGGGAAGAGATTTCCGCATCGCCTTTGCGCAATTCTTGGAGTTCTTTCTCCATAGTTAACAGTCGTGTGAATAACTGCTCGAGTGCGGCAGTGCATATTGTAGTTGTCGCCTAATTTATCGTTGTTAGAGTAGGTAGCAAGGAGTGATGAAACTATCGAGAGAGTTTGGTACAAGAGAAAACCCTAAGGGGTTGTACCCTACATTGGCTACCCCACTACAGCCTAAACAATCAAGTATAACATATACAGTTTGATACACCCCCATAGGCAAAGTGGGGGAGAACAAGGGGTCACACGACCAGTCAAGAAAAGCAAAGCAAGCTCAGGGTGGATCACAACGTCACCACATACTCTGAGCACAAGCAAAAGGGCCACAAGGTCAGTTCACATGCAGTGGTATGTATGTAACAACAACCGTAAAGTGATCACAACCTAGCAAGAGTAAACATGCAGGTATATATATAGAGATCACAGTACAACCAGAGTCTACAGCAAGTGAGGAAACGTAGGCACCAGGCCTAGAGCAGTGCAGAAGCGCTGATGATCACCAGCCGGAAGGGCCTTGGTGAACACATCAGCCGTGTTGGCCCGGGTGGGCACGTGAGCGACAACCAGCCAGGTTGGTTTGTCCTTCGACCATGAGATCTGCTTGGCCTTCCGATCCTCCGGCCATCTTGGTCTTGGAGCGTGTGCCGTTCGCCAGATCTAGGTTCGGCATATTTCACGGAAGTGAAGTTGCGAAGAATCCTTGAGTAGCTCTGATACCATGTTACAATATGAAATGGGACTTATTGAAGGAGCGCTCAGGGTTGATCGCAAGTGGTTTTGCAGCGGAAGTGTTGAACTCAGGTCAGAGTGAATGTAAATGACTGAGATGATAATAGCATGCATACATCGTGTTTATATAGGAAATACAAAATAATTGTGAAACGACCTAGACTAGCCATGTACTCTAAGGGGTACATTCCCTTATTGCAGCGAAGTTCAAACCGTGCGGCGTGAGAACCAGTTTCAAAACCTGTTCCCGCTCTTTTCATTTCAAATGTTTCTGCCTGCATCGGTCTTGGTCTGACGGTTGCTGGTGTCGCTTCGACTCTTCTGACGCCTCGACTTCGTACTCGGTAGAGTCGGCTCCTGTAGCATACAGGAATGACTTCTCAAAAAGTTTCATATCGTAACTGCTTCTTTGCGTCACGAGCGACGACTGTACAGTGTCTCGTTGAAAGGCCACCAGTCTACCAGTACGGCTGGTGCTTGTGTCATTATCTGTATATTTTATAATCTTTTGAATTCAACACTGAGAAATCAAGTTGACTGACTTGATTTTTTGAATAAGTTGGACTGTTGTAGGACTGATTGAATTGATTTAGTAACCCAATCATGATGGATATGCTACACTAGCTCATTTTTATCCAATTTCTGTTAAAATGTGCAGCTTGTTTGCTTTCTCGCTTGAGCGAAAGAAGGTTGGAATCTTTTTGCAGCTTTTGAGCGAATATTCCCCTAGGTGATGTCTTCCCGCCAAATCAATGCTCAACTGAAACTTGCCTCGAAAATATTTGGCCCATAGGCACCACCGTCCACTTCACGTCAGCCCATCCAGAAGTGGCCTAGTCAGTAGAAAGAGGCACTTCCGATAGATGAGGTCCTGGGATCGAACCCACCCCCGTGCAGGCGTGTTCTGCCAGCCCCAAGTAGGGGTTAGCACGTGCTCATCTAGGAATGGATACCCCTTAAACTGGTTACGACCAGAAAAACAACTTTAACTTTAACTTTAACTTCACGTCAGCCCAACCTTTCGTCAGACTGACGAGAACCAGTATGAAAAGGCTAAAATACATATTGCACTGCCTGCGTAAGCAGGCAGTGCAATCGAGTCAGCGCGGGTAAGAAAAAAAATAAACCCCAATCGGAGGCATGCCATCCGAGGGAGCCTCAACCCTAAAATTTATATTGGTTCTCTTTGATCATACATTGCGGAATCTCGAGCCTCACATGATGAATTCGCCTCCGCTACTGTACCCACAAACATTGCTGTCGATCGACGCTCAACCTAGCAACACGAGCAACAGAATCCCGGTCATGTAGGCTTCTAGACACTTGAAAGAGCCTGGTATGTTAGCTTGAGGTCATTTCGGCCTCCCGTTTCCTCGTCTTTCTTCCATCATTCCTCGTCGCCTGCGCCTTTGTAGTTCCTCCGTGCATTTGTGAAGCAATCTAGTGCTTCTACGCAAGCAGAGGTGAATGAGGTTTTTCGGATCGATCGTGCGATTCGCCGTGGATATTAATAGGACGGTCTCGATGTCCTCCGTCCTCAGGATGCTAGTTTGGTTCATGTTGGCAGCCTTACCGTTCGCGTCTTACACCAGAACATCGCGAAAGTGCAAGGCCCGAAAAGTTGCTTTTCCGCAACTTTAAAGTTGCGGGAAAGCAACTTGAGTTCCGCAAGAAAAAAATCTAGGTCAAAAGCTTCTGTGGCGGGGTGACTTTCAAAGTTGCGGAAAAGTGACGACAAAGCTTCGAAAGAGTGGCCATATCGCAACCACACAACACAACTAAAAGGTGACATCAGAAGTCCCCTTTGCCACCCTTTGCCACGTGGACGCCTGATGGCCACGTGTTAAGATATTTCCTGCCAGCTGTCAACGTGAATAGTGGACGAAAGAATGCCACGTGGTCCATTCAGATCTCGAGACGCATATTGGCGCATGCAATACATATTGTAAAAATTCTTGAGTTAGATTTATATAAATGTATCTGTTAATACATCAGACCTGACAATTCGCAATTATACCATAATCAACATGATCTGGCGCCACTACATAGTCTAAATGAAGGTACTTAACAGAAGCAAACATTGCTACCCTTTCATCCACTTGAGCCTGAAGTTCTGAAACACACGAGAAAAGGAAACATCAAATCTCAACAAAGGCAGGAAAGTGTTTTTTAGACATGGTACCTGCAAAAACTGATGTTAGCCAGGGAAAGAGCAAAATCATATCTTACATTAACAGACGTACAAAAGTGTGCAGCACAACAGGGAAGAAGGGAGTCATGCAACATGGTAACTAAACGGAGTCAACATAGCAAGTAATTCAAACGAGAGGTTACTTACTGGCTACTTACCTGTCTTCCACGCGATTTCAGGCATAAAATAACGTGGCATGGTGACGGTTATAAAGACAATCTGCGCACATGACATAAGAGAGAATGCACATATAATACGTACGACAATCCCCACCTTTGATATCCATTCTGTGCACCGCGTAGTAAGCGCGCGAGTCCTTCTGGGTTAGGAAAGAGCGTCTACTTCGGAAAAATCATAAAACACGGCAGCATGGAATCAACGGAACAGCGCGACATGCTGCGACGTACCGGAAAATGCAACACGATGTGCGCCATCCGCTAGTGCGGTAGTAAGATGTACCCAGTTGACATTAATAGTTGAACCGTATCTGGAGCCAACAATCCGACGGCACAAAAAAAAAAAAAAAAAGAATGAAACAAAATTAGCTGTAGGAGTTCTCAATCGAAAGCACAGCATGGCACCATGAGGCACATTAGAGCGACATTCCGTCAGGGCAAATTATGACGGATAGATCTGGAGAAGGGAGAAATGGGTGAGGGATGGGATTGAACAGCAAGGAAAAATGGTCGAGAAAGTGGTTGCGAAGAAAAGGTGGAGAAGTGGTCGAAAATAAATGGTTCGAGAAGGTTCTGGAGGTGGTGGGTGAGGTGTTGACGTGGAGATAAGGAATCGTGTTGATTGGTGGGAAAGTGTTTGGTTCCTCTCTCGATTGGTTAAAAAAAGTTCGTTGGTTGGGGGGTGAGTGTTTGGTGACGATTTGGTACTTCGCAAATTTCGTTGGCTTGAGATTGTCGCGCTGCTTGTTGATTGGTGGTTTGCTTCTCAAATGTACAGAATTTCGGTCAAATCAGTGTAACATTTCGTGAATTTCGTCTCTTTCTTGGAAAGGAGAACCCCTTTGTAACCCTTTGTACCACCGAAACTACACGGGCGATTGTGTGAATGGTTGTTGAGTGGCGAAAACAACTTTTCCGTCACTTTATGATTGCATGATAGTGATGGCCACTCGTCACGGTGCGCCAGAACTTTTCCGAAGCTTTTCCGAAGGTTTTCCGCAGGAAAAGCTACCGTGTACATTTTGTGCACACAAGGAATTCCGCGATGAAGCGAGGAACTTTCTAACGAAGCCAAAGCCGTAAATCAGAGCCTCGCACCTTTCCCGGAAGAGTCTCTCCCTACTGCGTCGGGTTACTTGATTACCAACGAAACCACGGGTGCGAAGATGTACTTCGCATATTACGAGGCGACGCAGCCCGAAACGGCTCAATCCGATACGCCAATCATTCTCTGGCTTCAAGGCGGTCCCGGTTGTTCAAGCATGATCGGAAATTTCTACGAGCTCGGCCCTTATCGGATTACCGAATCGCTCAATATCGAGCCCAACCCCGCTCCCTGGAACCGTCGCTATGGTGTCATCTTTATAGACAACCCCGTTGGTACGGGTTTTTGCGTAGCTCCTTCAGATGCGGATATTCCTCTGGATCAGGATGACGTGGCAGGGGATCTTTACACCGCACTCCGATCATTCTTCAGTCTTTTCCCGCCATTTCGCCAGAGGCCGTTCTTCCTGGCAGGGGAGAGCTACGCTGGAAAGTACGTCCCCGCTTTAGGCTCCCTCGTTGTGGGGAAACTGGACATGGCGCAACAGCAGTTACGACAGCGTCTGAAGTTCAAACGCGACGGCGAGGGCGGATACAAGCATCCGTTCTGTCTTGATGGGGTTATAATCGGTAACGGGTTGACGCATTCGCGTACGCAGGTGCAGGCGCATGCTGATATCGCGTACAGCGCTGGGTTGCTGGACCAGCAGCAGCGGGAGAGGGCCAAGGAGTGGGCGGAACGAGTAGTGGCGCATATTGACAAGGAGGAATGGCAAGAGGCTTTTCAAGAGCGGACGAACCTCGTCAACTGGATTCAGGTAAGGAAGGAAATTCGGGTAAAGAGAGAGATTCAGGTGGTGAGAGAAGTTCTGAGATGTCGCGAGACTCTCTGTAAAGGAAGAATAGCAGGGGGCTTTTCAAGATCGGACGAACCTTGTCAACTGGATTTATGCAGGGAAAGAGATTCAGGTAGGGAGGAAGTCCTAAGACGTTTTGGAAACTCGAAAGGAAGAATGGCGAGAGGGTTTTCAAGGGCAGAGGAACCTGGTCGACTGGATTCAGGTCGAGAGACCTCCTTGTACACTCAAGCACTTGTACAGTCAGGTCGACTGGTTTACTGCTAAGCGCTCCATTGAACAGCTGCGGATGGCGCTGAATCTGGGTCCGTGGGGACATGCTTTCTATTGAGGTTTTTGGATCTTCCAAAGTTAGTGTTGGTTGTAGTCTTAAACCTCGAACCTTAACCTTGAATTTCAAAACCCTGACCCGCCCATCTCTAGCTTTTCCCTCGGTCTCTCAACCATGACACTTGACACGCTTTTGATAAATTTCCAACCAAATCCCTTCACCCTCTTACCCTCTTCTGTGACTTCCCCTACCCACCCTCCCCTTCCTCATTCACAGAACGTGAGCGGCATAGCAACACCCTTGGACATCCGGAGAACCCGCGCCTACCACCACAACAAGGAAAAACAAGAGTACCTCGCTCTATACCTCAACCGCCCGGAGACTAAAGACGTCCTTAAAGCTGACGCGTCCACCACCTGGGTCTCCTGCAGCTCTCGCGTCCGCAAGCACATGTCCAACGACACTATGAAATCCACTATGTATCTCGTAGAAGGGCTATTAAACCGCCTCCCGGTGCTGCTATACCAGGGGGTCTACGATATTAAAGATGGCACCGCGTGCTCGCTAGAGTGTGTTATGAGTTGTCAAACAGAGTTGCGCGGAATAACGAATAACGAGGCTGTGACTCAATGAACTGACGATACAATGAAAGGCATGCGATTATATAGCGAGACAACCTAGCTAGGCGGGAACCTCGGGAACGCGAGGTTGGGTGCAGGTTGGGCAATGGAAAGCCGAAGGCGACGCGAGGTTGCTTCGGCAGCAAGCAAAGCGGCCGAACGTGCACTTCCGAAAGTTGGGGTTGTACGCGGTTGAGTAAACCCCAGTAAGGAAAAAGGGTTTTTCCTTACACTACCCCCCCCCTTAAGAAAGGTGGCCAACATCCACAGCTCGCTTGCGGGCGAGGTAATCACCAAGAAGCGGGGAAGCTTCAAGCGAGGCGGATGGCACCCATGTGTCGTCCTCGTTGGTGCGGTCAGTCCAACGGATAAGAAAGTCCACGTGGCGTCCCGAAGCGTCGAGCCGAACACGATGCGCCAAAATCTTGGACGGGTCGAGTGTCGGTTCCGGGACAGGTCGAGCTGTCGGGACGGCGTTCTGGCGCGCGATGTCTGTCGTGGCAGGCACGAACTTGCGTAATAAGCTGACGTGGAAGGCGTCGTGAATACGCCAGTCGTCCGGTAGTAACAGCTTCGCGGTGACAGGTGTCACCATCTTGAGGATCCTGAAAGGCCCACAGAATCGTGGCCGTAACTTCGATGGGCCGGGCAGGTGCAGGTTCTTCGTGTCCAGTAGTACTAGTTGCCCAGCTGCCAAGACGAGTTCCCGTCGTAAAAGGTCGGTGTATTTGCGGGAAGTGGTATTCGCCTTGCGAATTGCGTCCGCAGCCTTCTCGCGAATTTCTTGGAGTTCTGTCACAAATGTTTGTGACCTCGGGACCGGGTTGTCAAGTGTAGTCGTTGTAGGTACCACCGGGTCCATCCCGTAATTCAAGAAGAACGGGGAGTGATTAGTCGTGCTGGACGGAGCGTTGTTGAACGCGAATTCCAGCATGGCGAGCGAATGTTCCCAGCGAGCGGGGTCGGGGCAGTTTGTCCTGATCAGCTGCTCCATCGTCTGATTGGTCCGCTCGGTCTGGCCGTCGGTTTGCGGGTGGTATGCCGACGAGAACTGTAGCTTCGTTCCGTACTGCGCCCACGTCTCCTTCCAAAATTTCGATGTGAACTTTGGGTCCCGGTCGCTGATGATCGCCGATGGGATGCCGTGTAGTCGCACAACGGTGGAGATGAAGAGGCGTGCAGTTTCTTCGGCGGTGATTGTCGTGCGACAAGGTGCGAAATGCGCCATTTTTGTGAGGCGATCGACGACGACGAGTACAGCGTCGTTGCCGGACGGCCCAGCTGGCAGCCCCGTGACAAAGTCCATCGTCACCTGTTGCCACGGTCGTTCGGGTGGCTCGAGGGGTTGCAGCAACCCAGCTGGCCGCTGACGTGTCGATTTCATGGCTTGGCACACCCTGCATGAGGACACATATCGCTGCACGTCGTTAGCAGAATCAGGCCAATAATACTGACGGTGCAACAGCTTCTGGGTTTTATCAACCCCGAAATGTCCGGAGAGGTTGGAATCATGGACCTCCTGAATAAGGAGTTCACGCAGCAGCCGGTAAGCGGGAACCCAAATCCGGTCAGTTCCGGCCTTTAGGTAATAATTCCCTTTCTGCGTCGTCGCCTGCTGGTGATTTCCAGTCGTGAAGAACGGGTCCGTAGTGTAGCCGTGGGTGAATAGTCCCGAAAGGAGCGGGTTCGAATGGGTGATCAGTACAGCAGCGGATTGGACTGTCGGTCGGGTCAGGGCGTCGGCAATGTTGTTCGCGCCCTTCTTGTAGGTGATCCTGTAGTGGAAGTGTGACTCCATGTAATCGAGCCACCGGATTTGTCGTGGGTTGAGGTTGGGTTGCGCTCGAAGGTACTGTAGGGATTTATGATCGGTGCGAACAGTGACGTCGGCTCCAGTCAGGTAGCATCGCCACAGTTTAAACGCGTGAATGATGGCGAGCATCTCCTTGTCGTGAATCGGGTAGTTGCGTTCGGCTGCCTGCAACTTGCGTGACTCGTAGGCGATCGGTTGTAAGCCGTTGCCAAAATCCTGGAGCAGCACTGCGCCGATGGCGAAATCTGAAGCGTCGGTGACGACTTCGAACGGCTTGGATGGGTCGGCGATGCGAAGAACCGGAGGGGACACCAGTAACCGCTTCAACTCCTGGAAAGCCGCCTCAGCCTCCTCCCCCCACACGAAGTTCCTGTCCTTGTGCAGCAGGTCGGTCAGCGGGCCGGTTATCCCCGCCATATTCGGGATAAACCGCCGGACATAATTCACAAACCCCAGAAAACTCTGAAGTTCCGTGACATTAGTCGGGGCCTTCCACTCCTGGATGGTCTTGATTTTCTTCGAGTCGATTTTGATGCCATCACGTGAGATGACGTGCCCCAAAAACTCCAACTCTTGCTTAAAAACGCGCACTTAGAGCCCTTGGTGATGAGGCGGTTCTCCTGCAACCGCTTAAACACTGCGTCGAGGTCGCGGAGGTGCTGCTCGCGTGTCCTGCTAAAAATCAGGATATCGTCCAAATAGACGATAACACACTTGTCCAGCAGGTCGCGAAATACCCTGTTCATGGTGCGTTGGAATGTTGATGGCGCGTTCGTGAGGCCGAAAGGCATCACTGTGAACTCGTAGCTGCCGTAGCGGGTTCGGAAGGCGGTCTTGTGACAGTCGTCAGCGAAGACCCTGATCTGGTGGTAACCGCCGCGTAGGTCAATTTTCGAGAAGTAGCGAGCGCCGCGAAGTTGGTCGAGGAGGTCGTCGGTGCGTGGGATGGGATAGCGAGATTTTATGGTAACCCGGTTGAGCGCGCGATAGTCGATGCACATGCGAATGCCACCGTCCTTCTTCGGTGTAAACAGGATCGGCGCGGCAAAGGGCGAAGTACTGGGTCGGATGAAGCCCTTCTCCAACAGTGACTCAAGTTGACTTCGAAGCTCCGCGAGTTCGGGCTGAGTCAACCGCCACTGTGTACGAACAGTCGGATGCGCGCCAGGTTCCAGCTGGATTTTGTGGTCTTCGGGTCTCTCGGGTAGTAGGCCAGGTGGCAAATCGTCGGGGAAGATGTCGGGGTACTGTCGAATCAGCTCCGCTAAATCAGGTGGTACAGCTGCGCACAGCTTCTCGATGTCGTTTCCGTCGGTGTCGGCTGCCAACTCGCGTAAACATACGGCGAACAGTTGCGCACCCCTGTTGACGTGGCGTGTAATCGTGATGGCTTTGACGCATGTAGACTCGATGCAGTCCGGAGTCCACGCGGGCAGAGTAATCAGCTTCCCGTCCTTGCTGATGCTGCACGATCCCGTCGTCCAATCGATTATCGGGTTGTGCCGTCGCAGCCAATCGCGCCCCAGGAGCACGTCGCATCCGTCCAACGTCGTCGCGAGAAACTTCATGCTGAAGCCGAAATCGTCGCCGCACTCAATCCGCACCGTCCGTGTTTCTTCCAAAATCGCCAGAGGCGTCCCATCCACGAGGCGGGCGTCAATTTCGGGCAGACACCTGTCCAGCTGCAACTTGCATTTTTTTGCTGTCGCCAGATTGAAGAGGCTATGGCTAGCCCCGCCATCGACGAACATTTTTATTTTTTTCTTAACAACCGTGCCAACAACCAGCACAGGGTGATCCACATGTTCACCCCCGTTATTCGTCCGAGTGCGATCGATTGCATGAATCGGAACCACGACTCGGTGGGGATGGTGGGGTTCGGGCGACAGAGCGCAGTCAGTAAGGGGCCCGTCTGTTACTGACTCTTCCCATTTCCCGGCTCCTTCCCGTCGTTCTTCTTTCCCTGCGTCCTGTCGGGGCAGTCTTTATACATGTGGCCCGGCTTCCGGCACTTAAACACAACCCTGTAAAAGGGCGGTCTGGCGCATGGACTCCGTTAATCGTGGCCCGCTGGGTCTGTCCACGAAATCGGTTTCCCTCCCGAGAACTCGATCTCGCCCACTGCATCAGCGCGTCTGTGCTCTCGGCCAATCGGACGGCTTCGTTGAATGTTGTCGGGCGGTTTCGGCGCACCTCGAACTGTATCTCGTACTTGAGGCCGCTGATGTATTTATCCAACCGCTCCGCCTCCGCCATGTCGTCCACTTGATCCGCGAGCGCCATAAACGACGCTGTGTAGTCTTGAACAGAAGCCAACTGCGACCAGGTACGCAGCTTCATGCGAGCGTGTTCCGAGGCGGATACATGCTCGAAACGCTCTCGTAAGGCTGCGCCCCACTGTTTCCACGTGCGAATTGTGGCCACACCGAATATTGATGATGCCCTCCCAATAGCAGAGTCCGAAGTCCCGTCTGCCGCATGTGTCACACCTGTCGGGGTCCCCGTGTCCAAGGTTCGTCGCCACCACTCAAGCGCCGGGCCTCGCAGAAGCGATACCGCGTAATTAATACGCGTGGCGTCGTCGTTGACATTCGCTGCAGTGAAGAACACCTCCACGCCGAACAACCACCCCTTAACAGTAGTGTTCTTGTCGGTAGGGTTGAACGGGGGCGGGCTCGTAGGCTTTATCTTGATTGTTGTCACTGCAACTGTTGTCGCTGCCGCCGCTCGCTGCCTATCTTCTTCTTCGAAGCCGCGTGTGAGCTCCTCCAACGGATTGCCGCTCACCGCTTGACCAGTGCTCTCGCCTTCTTCAGCGGGCGACTCCTGGCGCGCTTCACCTCGCGCCTGGCGTAGCTCGTTGTTTTCTTCACGTAGTCTCTCCACCTCTGTCGTTAACGCCTTCATGCCTGCCGACATCTCCGCCACTTGCTGCATCAATGCGTTAAATGCCGCCTGGTCCATGAGTCGCAAGCTACGTCTAACAGGCAAGTGGGTATCCGTGACTATCCGGCAACAGTGCAAGCGCAAAAGCTATCGAAGTCAAGCAAGTTTAAATTAGTAAACTTTGCAACCAACCGCTTTGCAGCCCACCGTACCAGTCACACCCGTGCCACTAAACTACCCTGGAAAAGCGGGGTGAACTAGGAAAGTAGCTCTGATACCAGGTGTTATGAGTTGTCAAACAGAGTTGCGCGGAATAACGAATAACGAGGCTGTGACTCAATGAACTGACGATACAATGAAAGGCATGCGATTATATAGCGAGACAACCTAGCTAGGCGGGAACCTCGGGAACGCGAGGTTGGGTGCAGGTTGGGCAATGGAAAGCCGAAGGCGACGCGAGGTTGCTTCGGCAGCAAGCAAAGCGGCCGAACGTGCACTTCCGAAAGTTGGGGTTGTACGCGGTTGAGTAAACCCCAGTAAGGAAAAAGGGTTTTTCCTTACAGAGTGGATGAGGGAGTTACAGTGGAAGGGTGTGGAGCGGTTCTGGGCGGTGGAGAGACAGTTGTGGGAGGTGGAGAGGGAGGTGGCGGGGTACTGGCGGGAGCATGACATGTTGACTCACGTGCTGCATGGGGCGGGGCACGGTGCCTGCTGACCAGCCTCTGAACTCGCAGGTGAGCTGCTGGTAACTGTTTTGAGGCATCTTATAACGAGTACAGTGGCAGAATGAAGAATTTGAAATTGACACGTTGATGCATGTGGAGTTGCATGGAGCAGGGCACGAGGTGCCTGCTGACCAGCCTCTGAACTCGCATGTGAGCTGCTAATAACGAGTAATTATGCTGCGTATGATAGAAACGTGGATCAGCGAGCAGTGAGTCACAGCTAAGAAGATCAAGCTCCTGCTCCTCTGTCCAGTCCATCAGGTCTTCCCCTTCTCTCCTCTGCCCCGCCTCTTCCTCCATTGCAGCATATGATAGAAACGTGGATCAGCAAGGAACGAGCCACGGCCAGGAAGCTCGAGTTTGTTATGGGGGAGGTGTTATCTGATGGCGACCAAGAAGAGGCGCAAGGGGAGGGTGCGGAGGGGACGGGGGAGGAGGAGGAGGGGGGAAAGGGAGGGGATGATTACGCGGGGGCAATGATCGCGGATATAATGTCAGGGTTTGTAGAGAAGATGGAGAAGAGGGGGGTGGATTGGAGCAAGGTGGGTCCCAATGGGGAGGGGTTTGAGTTTGAAGGGTTTGAACCCGAGTGGTTCGAACAGCACGGTTTGAAGCTGGAGGGGGATGGGGAGGGGGGAGGAGGGGAGTTAGTTGTGGAAGGGGCGGAGGGGGGAGAGGAAGGGGAGGGGGAGGAAGAGGGGGGAGAGGGAGCGGAAGAGAGTGATGGGATGGAGGGGTTGGAGGGGGAGGGGGAGGTAGGGGTTGAGGTGGTGGAGGGTGGGGAGGGCGGGAAGCTGGAGGGGATGGCTGGGGGAGCAATAGAGGCTATGGAGGGGAAGGAGGGCAAAGAGGAAGTGCGTGATTTGTGATTGGCAAAGATGTGACACACATACTTTATCGCCTCAAATAGTAGCGCTGCCTGATTAAAAGCGCCGGCGCTTAAACAATTATAAGCGCCTCCCCTGAAAAACCTTCACTTATTATAACGCATGCATAGAACAAGTATGAAAGCTAAACCCGAAACCCTTAACAAATATAACTCTATATTTTCACTTTACAAGCGCATGAAGCAGGGCTCTCGTTATCAGGGTAAAATACCCTTTTTGCCTTTTCTGGCGGCCGCTTTTTTTCAGTTACAGTACCCTTTCTCAGGAAGGGGAGTAGAAATTTTACACTAGGCCAGAGAGTTGAGATCCACTCTAAAATTTTAGGGTTAGAGCGTGTTACGTACCCCTTATTTTGGGGCCTGGTCGCGGTTGCCTCGAACGGTCGGGTTGGGTTGAACGTAGGGTTACCAGATTACCCTAGAGTCTATAGTGTACAGTATTTGACGTTTGTACCAGAGCACAATCACACCTGGTCGAGGCGACCAGGTGGTCTTGTCGGAACTAACAGTAGAAAGTGAGAATGAAGAAAGGAGGGGTTGCACTAGCAGCAGTTGGCATACATATAGGAAACCCTAATTGGGTTGTACTCGCTATAGAGTACCCCACTGCAGGCTAGACAATTATAACATTCTGACACACCCCCATAGCCAAAGTGGGGTGTAATCAGCAGAGCAAGCAAAGCAGTACAAGCTCAGGGTGGATCACAATGTCACCACACATTCTGAGCACAAGTTTAAGAAGCAATAGTTTAAAGTTCACAATTATGAGCAAAGCTAGAGGCAGTCACAGAGGGCAAGTGAGGAGGAGGAGGGCTGGCGAGAGGAGAGTAGATTAGGAGGCGACGACTGAAGCTGCAGACACACGGGCAACAGACGGCTCTGGTGCGACACAGTGGCTACCGGGAATGAGTGCCCCGGAGTACAGGAGTAACAGGTTCCGCGGCTAATACAGGGAATGAGTGCCCCGGAGTACAGGCGCTGCGTACGACACGACGGCAACCTCCGCTCAACCTCCCCCAACAGTCCCACACCCCTCGACACACACCCCCTGCTTCAAACCCTAGCTCCACTCCCACGGTACCCCCCTTAAACCCCAAACCCTAGGCTCCCACACACCACCCCCCTCAGCGGCAGCTGTAGCAGAGGGAGACGAGGGAGGAGGAGGAGCAGGGGGAGTAACTCACAACCGACACCCCCATAGCCGCCACCCCCACACTCCTCACCCCCAAACCCTAAAAACGGGCGGAACGGGGGAAGGAGCGCGGGGGACGGCGAGGGGGACGGCGCGCGGCCCCCAGGACGCCACCACGGGGCAGCGAGGGGCCGCGCGCGGCTCCTTAGGGCGGCGCGACGGGAAATCGGGGGCCGCGCGCGGCTCCCCAGGGCGTCGCGACCGTCGACGGGGCAGCGGGGGGTCGCGCGCGGCTCCCCAGGGCAGTGCGACGGGAAATCGGGGGCGCGCGGGGGTCCCCCACGGTAGGAAACCGCCGCGCGTCCGGGGCGCACGGCGGGTAGAAAAACCGCCGCACGCCCCGAGCGCGCGGCGGGATGAAAAATCCGTCGCACGCCACGGGGCGTGCGACACAAACAGTAGTAGGAGCAGCGGAAGACTGAGGTGGTGGGGCCCACCCACAGGATCGACCCAACTGGATCGTCCTGCTCTGATAGCATGTCAGTGATAACGGAATGGAATGGTGGACTAGAAAGGATTGTGAGTACAAATATGAAACCCTAATGTTGTGACCCCCTATAGGCTACCCCACTATAGCCTACACAAATATAACATGTATAATGTTTGACACTCACCACCTCTTACAGACCCCAGTCGAACGGCATAGCGGAACAAGCAAACAGTACGGTATTAGAAACGGCACGGGCATTTCTTATTGAGTCGGGGTTGGGGATCACAAAGTGGCCACATGCTGTGCGCCACGCCACGGTTGTTAAGAACAGGGTGTTCACCAACGTCAGTGGTGAGTCATGGGTCCCCATGGAGAGGTGGCTTGGAAGGAAGCCGCCCATTGACATGCTGCGTGTGTTTGGCTGCATGGCTGTGGCCCACATCCCAAAGGCCCATCGCGACAAGTTGGGTGCAACGGCTGTGTGGTGTGTGCATCTTGCGGAGATGCACTCTGCAACGGTAGTGAGCTAGACTACCGAGGTTGGCACGAACTACTAGGAGTGATCGTAGCTTTGCTTGGTTCCTTAGTGCTTGCACATTCACGGGAGAAATTGGCAAGAGTTTCCACTAGCAAAGTTGGAATTACAGAATGAATGAACAAGCAATGACAGAACTGACTACATCAGGCACCTAGCAACTCTGCAGCTAGCCTGGTCGACCGCCAGCACTGCATGGTCGACCGCGTGCCAGCGTTGCGTAGAGGAGCCGCGCCAGCACTGCAGAAGAGCGACCTGCCAACACTGCAGGTCGACGGCGTGCCAACGCTGCAGCAGAGCGGCTGTCCAGCGTTGCCCCGTAGAAGACAGCAATGCGCATGCTCACAGGTGCGCGCAGACGATTGGCCCGACTTGCCTCGTTGGGCATCCGTCGGCTGTTGTCTGCGCCTGACGAGCCACATCGACTTCGGGATACCATTCCGAAGTCGCCTTCGTCATCGCGATCTCGACGACGTTCGCGTGCCTCTGCAGAACTCGTCGAGCAGGTTACCCGGTCGACCTGGACACCACCATATGCTCCGGTCGACCACCAGGTGCCTCCGGTCGACCACCAGGTGCCTCTGGTCGACCACAGCTCCCGTCGAGCTACCCCTTGGTCGACGGACCCATTCCGTCGACCAGAACTGCTCTGTCGATCTTCCGGTCGAGCTGCAGGTTGATGGGATGCTTCGCGGACCTCCCGGTCGAGCTGCAGGTCGACGGGACGCCCCCCAGTCCTCCCGGTCGAGCTGAAGTTCGACGGGAAGCTCCCGAGACCTCCCCGTCGAGCTGTAGTTCGACAGGATGCTCCCGAGGCCTACCCGTCGAGCTGTAGGTCGACGGACTGCTCCGTCGACCTCCCGGACGGCCCACCCATCGCCCAGGCCAGTCAGTTGCGCCCGTCGAGCACCCCTGGTCGACGGAAGCTCCACAGTGACATCCTGCAGCTCGACGAAGCCCGTCGAGCAGCTCCTTCACTGCGAACGGTCGGCTGCTTCACCCGTACATCCGACCAAGTCGTCGGCGTTGCCCAAGCGAGGGCGGGGCCAACACTCCATTCCCGTTAACACTCCCCTGCCGCGCTCACGCTTGGGCCTCCAGCCCACACGGCAGTACTCCACGGAGAAAACTCGTCCTCGGCGTGCACCCCACACACAGCACGCCGTCACCGCACCAGCCGTGCAAAAGGGCACGGCACCTACTGCTGCACCTCGTCGTCGCCGTCGCCGACGTCGGCCAGACGAACTTGGCCGATGGCGACAGAGCACCGGTTGAAAGCCGGAAAATGCAGGGCCTTCGTTAGGAAATCCGCCGGCTGCTCGGTGGTCGGGATGTACTTCAGCTTGAACTTCCCGCGCCTCACCATGTGCTGCAGCCAGGCGTAGCGTCGCTCCATGTGCTTGAGGTTGCCCGTCAGCCCCAAGCCCTCAGCGACCGTGATTGCCGACTTGTTGTCGACGCGGAGGATGGTCGGCTTCCCAGCGTCGAGCAGCTTGAATTCCGCAAGGAGGAAACGAAGTCGGCGTCCCTCCTTGCCAGCATCCGTGGCCGCGACGTACTCCGACTCGGTCGAGGAGAGCGTCGCGCACTTGATGCGCGAGCTCGACCAGGAGACAGCGGCCCCTCCGTAGACGAACACGTAGCCGCCCGTGCTCGTCCGGTTCTGCTTGTCGCCCGCGTCATCGGCATCCACGTAGCCGATCAGCTCCAGCGACTCTGGTCCACCGCCGAACTCCAAGGCGGTGTCGCGGGTGTCGGCGAGGTAGGCGAGGCAGCGGTCGACCTCGCGCCAATGCTGGTCGCTCCTCACCGTGAGGCCGCTCCCCAGCTTGCTGCAGGCGAACGCGATGTCCGGCCTCGTTGTCGTCGCCGCGAACTGCAGCGAGCCGACCTTCTGCCGGTATTCCTCCTCCTCGCGCTCCTGCGCTTCCTCGTCGTCGAATGTCAGCTCGGCGTAGGCGTCGACCGAGATTGGCGTCTTCGGGACTCGACCGCTCTGCTCCTCGTCGATGAAGCGCCTACGCAGCTTGTCGGCGTAGCCCTGTTGGTGCAGCCACAGCTTCCTCGCCGGCCTGTCGCGGACGATCTCCAGCCCAAGGTACTTCACCACCGGCGAGATCTCCCGCAGCTCGAAGGCGGACTGCAGCACTTCCTTCAGCTCCTTCAGCATCGCGGTGCTGCTGCTGGCAGCGAGCAGGTCGTCGACGTAGACCAGCACCTAGCATGTCACTCCGTCGTCACCGGTCTTGAAGTAGAGCGCCTCGTCGACCTGGCTCTTCTTCCAGCCAGCCCCCAGCAGCACTCCGTCGAGAGCTCTGTACCACAGCAGCGGTGACTGCTTCAGCCCGTAGAGGCTCTTCAGCAGCTTACACACCCGGCCGGTCCCATCGTCGAAGTAGTCCGGCTGGTACATGTAGAGCACCCTGTCGAGCTTGCTCTGCAGGAAAGCGTTCTTCATGTCGAGCTGCATCAGGTTGAGGTCGAGGACGGCGACGATGCTGAGGAAAATCCTCAGCGTGACGTAGCTGCTCACCGGCGAGTACGTCTCGTCGTAGTCGGCGCCGTACACCTGTGTGAAGCCCTTCACGACCAGCCTCGCTTTCTCGCGCTCGACGGTGTCGTCGATGCGGTACTTGGTCGTCAGCACCCACCGGTTCTTCATGATGTTCACTCCGCGTGGGCGTTCGACCAGCTCCCAAGTGCCCATGCCGATGAGGCTGCGGATCTCCTCCTCCATGGCGGCCTTCACCGCCGGACCCTTCCAGCTCGCCAGCGCCTCCTTCACCGTCATTGTGGCGATGTCCCAGCGGTGTTCGGGGTCGGCAT